GAGCCACTTAGTCTTGTATAAATAACCTCCAAACTGTGAAAAGCAAAATTGCGTGACAGTTCTACATCTATGATATATGATATATATCCTTGGGGGATAAGCAGTTGTACCTGGTTCTTACTTGACCCCTCAGAAACACGGAGAACTCAAATAGGGATGCCTCGGCCTCCAGCACACATGCATGCACGCACACACGTACACACACACACAGCGAGTATGTGGCTCTACTTCACATATCCACAGAGAGTCTACACAAATCTCCAGATGAAGAAAGAACACCTTGGAAAAGGCCAGAGACCAATACCTACCCCATTCCAAAGAGGCCTAGATGTGGAAGTGGCCCATAAGTATAAACAGTGTTATAAAATGTCATAAAACATTTTAACAACCATTTTGAAAATCTAATTACTGCAAAAAAAAAAAAAAAAAAAAGGAATTTGAGTTTTATTAACATTCCTTGTGAGCCCCCATAAATCTGTTGTCTTAAGTGATACACAACAGCTCTTTCAAATATAAATATAACCCTCAAATTTACAAATCTACACACAGGCCAAAATGAAAGTGACACAAGTGAATTATTAGTTCCTTTTCCTCAGTGATGGATCAAAGTACACAGATCCTTTAACTGAGCAGTGCCATTCTTATAATGAGAAAAACCTCCAAATTTAGGGCACTGGGCAAATGCTTATACAGTTCCCAATACAATACAGCCAAAATTTACATGTCCCAATCAGTCTTCAAAGTAAATACAATTTCTGAGGACCCCCCCTCAACAAATTTTAAATCAAACTACTCTCTTCCTAGGAAAGAACAGGGTATAAATAAACAAAATGATCATCTTTTCAGTTTGCCTATCATGTTGGTATCTATCTACTGAAGCCATTTAAGCTACATTGTGCCCCAAATTATAAAGTGATAAAGTCCATGAATAAGAAATAGAACTTAAATTCGACCCCATTCTCTTACACCTGTTTACTTTAAATATGTGTCTGATAAAACTACCAAATTTATTAATCTTTCTCCACATGGTCTTACATTTTCAGAACTGGTCCTCAAACCAGAATTAATACTATTTTCATACCAGAGTGAAGATGTTACTCTGTCAATCCTAATGAAAGAACATGCTATTTAGAGCAAAAGTACATTAGTGTAAGTGTCTAAGGGTGACTTGGATTATTTCCATCTCCACAACACACTTGTGATACTTCAGATACAATATGATGCTGGGGAAAAATGAAACAAGTAGAAAAAGCCCTACCAAAAATTCATTCCTAAATATAGATAAAAAGCAAAACCAAAGATAAAAGAGGATTTAGGTTTCTCACTACAGACCCAAGGTAAGAATATGATGTTTCCTAGAACATACTTAACAATTTTGTATTAATATAAACATAAATTTAAGTGATAACTGTCTTAAAGAGTAGTTACTAAAAAAAAAAAAAGAAAAGAAAATGTCAAAACTAAGTACACAGAAATAAGGATATGCCAAAAAAAAAAAAAAATTTTAAGCCATGTGCAATTGCATTCCAGGTAACCTAGGAAAACAGAAAACTCTTAAACATTTTTGTTATTTTTTTTTTTTTAAATGAAAGGCCTTTTCTATAACCACAGTTGCCAATCCTACCTTCTCTGACGACAGAGCAGCCAGCCAGCCAGCTATATCTCAGCAAATATATCAATTTAGGGCACAATAATTTCTTTACAAGATTTACAACATCAGATAGGCTAAAATTTCATTGGGAGGGGAAGTGGGGAATGATGTTATGCTATAATGTATCTTATACAAATTTTAAGGTAATCAGGAACCAGTCTGTAACTTCCTGCTTTGTAAGCCAGCTTAGTCGCTTCTTTTAATGGTAAATAAGGCTTTTTTTTTTAAATTACATGTATTATATTCTATAAAACTAAGGCTAAAATAAAATAAATTGAATTCAGCACAAATGCAGACATTATAAAATCTAGGCTCCGTGAGTAGACCTCAGTACTCCATTTGAGACTGCTCTACCTCCTTTATCTTACAAAAACCCAGTAACAAACTGTATCATAAAATGGCTTATTTCACTTTTAAAAAAGACCCCCCAATACAATATACACATATATTTTATTTCCAATATAAAAACATTTGCCACCCAATATAAACCATTCCTAAAATCAAAAATGAAACTAAATGTGCTAAAGCCACAAGAAAATTTCATCATTTAACAACGTGATTTAACAGTACTTTATGGCCTATAATTACATAGTAATTTAGTATTTTGGACAAATAACTATTTCTTATAATTATCCTAACAAATACTAAATAAAAACTAGCCTTCCAAAAAGGAAAAATATAAAAAAGACACATTCCACACGTTACACAGCAAAGTACCTAAAAGAAATCTGTGAATCTAGGTCATATACCCGGCATTTTTCTTCCCCCTCAAAAATAAAAAACCTATTCCCAAGGGTCACACTGAGGACATAATGGATTCACTCTCATTCCAAGAAAACAAAATACTTAAAATGATTGGTACCATTAAGAAATAATACTGTAAAGTAACAAGGACCTACATAATACATCTGCCTCTATCATCCTTCCGTTCTAGTTTACAAAGACGTGAATTTTAAACTATCCCTTTAAAAGAAAGCAGACAAAGTAAATGTTTTTAAAATTAATTACATGGGTTTATTTACACAAGGCTTCTCTGTGTTTTTACTTGTGTGAATCAAAGATAAAAACTGATATCACAAATTTTCTACCAAGAGTAGAAAAATATATTTTCATTAAAAGTAAAACTCCAGTAACTAAAGATTTAAAAGTAGTGGACACTAATGTCCTCAGCTAGGGATTCACATGATTATCTTGTTAAATTCAGTCCTGTATTCAGTCTGATGTGTCTCTCCTCTAAGATATGGTTGTTATTAAAATATACCTTGCTAATAAAATAAATAAGCTGAGTAAAAACATGTATTACAACCACTGTTAATTCCTAACAAATTAGAATTTTAAAAACTTTCACAGCATTTAAGATGTCTACTGAGAGAAAGATTAGTTGGGAAAAACACACCCAGCACAGCTTGCATGTGATAGTTTCCCTAATACCTGTGTAAGCACTTCAAATAAGGCTCACATCACCGAACGGAACAAAATAATCAAGAAGAGGAAAAAAAAAAAAATCCTAGAGCATTTCTATATTTCCAAACCAGAAGCAAATATAAAATAATTTTTAGTATTTCACAAGACTATCCATTTTTCCCTGACTGTTGTATACAAAATTAGTTTCCTCACTTTGTGATTTTTAACCATTACGTCAATTTAACTAAAATTCCTCATCCACAAACATCTTAAAACAATGAGAACTGTTAAAACACACATTACTAGAAATACAGCTTTATAACAATACAGCTTTAATCTTGTTATAAAGCTCATTAAGTATCACTGGAAGAAACTGTTGCATCTCAGAACCTGGAAAATTTTAACGCCATAATTTTTAATTTTAAACTACGTGGGCTGACAATTCATTTCTTGCACAGCTTAATCTGTAAAGGGCACTTTCACAAAAGCTTTACAAATCCAAAAACTGGTAAAATTCTTGGCATAATTATTTTTCAATTGCCATATCCTCATCCTACATTCAAAGTCCGTGATAGATGCATGTCCACGTTAGGATTGCCAAAGATCTCATTTTGTAAATGCCCAGTGTACTGGACACCAGCATAACGTTTTCAGTATTTAATCCTCTTATTAATAACTATGATTCATAATAACTTAAGCTTTAAATAATATTCAACCTTACATCTGCTTGTAATAGAGCTCAGTTATTATTTGTGGCAAGAATTTTTGTGACTGTACTGCTCAGCACTTCTATTTACATCAGCAGTGCTAAATGCCCAATGGTGAGAGGGGAGCCAATCAGATGGCAGATTAGATGTCAACTCAGAGGCAGCTGTCTGGAGACTATTACAGCCAGTTTACCTCCACAATTCAAATTCCAAACCTTGCAAAGGAGATCAAGTCAGTCTTTAGGCTCAGCCTACGAGCAAGAAACAGCAAGAGTGCAGGACACTTCCTAATAAAGCTGTAGGACCTGGGTGACAGCAAATTAAAGAAAATTTAAAGAAAATTCAAATAAATCCGATCCAAAAAGATCAATTTTCACTGGTCTGCTATTTTCCTGGACTCGCTGAATAAAATGTATGCCTGATCTATGATCAAAATAAGTTCAATTTAACCGGAATGCGTCCCTTTAACATAGCCTATCTGTTGAAGGTGACTCCTTTCAAGTAGCCTGTAAGCCAAATAATGGATTTCCTGGCTATTCCCAGGAATGAATCGATTTCTTTTAGAATATTTTACCTCCACGTCGTTGTAAATTGGGGTATTATTTTTGCTACGAAGCATTCCAACCCAAAGCTCGCATCGAGTATGTCTGAATAGCCGGGGAAGAACTACGAAAAAACACTCGGTTGCCACAAAGCTAACCTATTTTTCCTGCCTTCACCTTGCAGACTAAGAGGGAACGCGGTGGGGTAGGAGGTAGGACAAAGTTCCTCATTCTTTCCCAGTTAAGGCTTATTGCTGGAGCTAACCGAGAAGACCGGGTCAATATCCCTCCCCAGACCGTACCGGCCGGGAGCGCCGATTCGGTTACAAAAGCCGCCCGAGCCGTCCCCGGCCCCCACACCGCTCGCTCGAGGCGCAGTCCCCGGCTCCGGACGCGCGGCTCGGAGCCCGGGGTGGGGTGGCGAGGCGGGGGTGTTCGGCGGCCGGCCATCCCAGCGCGCGTCCCGGCCCTCGGCGCGACACTCTTGCCCAGGCCCCCGGGCCGCGCAGTCGGACGCCCCCCGCTCCCCAGCCTCCGGGGGAGGCAGCCGCGAGTTAAAATGGCTTTGGGCGCCTCGCCCCCGCCTCCCCCCCAGTACAAGACGCAGAAAAAGTACGCGGAAAGAAAGAAACTAGGGCTCGAGGCGCGCGGCGAGGCCGCCGCGGCGGAAGCAGGCCCGGCCGGCGCGGGGGTTACCTGGGATCTGCCCATGGTCGGGCCGGGGGTGCCGGGGCTCATCGCCGGGTGGCTCCTTTGTTGCGCGGCCGCCCAGGCCGGGCTGGCAGCGGCGTACTGGGCGCCCATGTCCTTGCCCAAGCCCATACCCGCGGCCGCCTGCTGGCCGCCCGCCGCCGCCCCCGCCGCCGCCGCCTGGGACTGGGGCTGCGACGGCGGCGGCGGCGGTGGCGCGCTGGGGCTGCCGTAGTCGGGGTAGCTGCCTCCGTAGCTCCTCATCATGGGGCTGGGCGAGGTGAGCAGCTGGTTGAGGGTCGGAGTGGCCCCCGACGGGTGCTGGTTCTGCCCGGCGAAGCGCTGGAAGCCCCCAGCCGCTGCGCCGGCGGCCGCCTTGCTGAGGCTCGCGGCCCCGCCGCCCCCGGGGCCCATCATCATGCCGCCGCCCTGCTGCCGGGGGGAGCTCAGCACCCCGTACCCCGAGGACGAGCCCCCATAGCCGCCGCCGCCGCCGCCGCCTCCTCCTGCTGCTGCCGCCGCCGCCGCGGCCGCCGCCGCCACAGCTCCCGCTCCTGCTCCTCCTCCTCCTCCTCCTCCTCCTCCTCCGCTGCCTCCTCCTCCTCCTCCTCCTCCTCCGCCGCCGCCGCCGCCGCCGCCGCCGCCCGCGCTAGGCCTGCTGTAGCCCGGATAATGGTTGTACTGGCTGTTGGGGTACCCTTCGTGGGAGTTCTGCAGGGGGTCCATGCTGTTGGGGGCTCCGGCGGCGGCTGAGGCAGAGTGCATCATCCCCATCCCGGGGCTTTGTTGTCCGCCATGTTGATCAAAGCAAGGCCCAGTGCGGCCGCCGGGGCCGCCGCTAGCAGGGGCAGCGCTGCCATAGTAATTATTAAACTCCGAGACGGCGGCCGGGCCGCTGCCGCCGCCGCCACCGCCGCCGCCGCCCCCGGGCACGGCGACCGGCGACTGCTGCGCGCCCAGGGCGCCCAGGCCCGGGTGCTCGAACCGGCCGCCCGCCGGCTCCCCCATCTTGGGCGGCGCGTCGTCCTCGTCGCCCGGCTTGCTCAGCAGAGGCTGGCCCGGGGGGTCGGCCTGGCTGCCCGCGGCACTGTCCTTGGCGCCTCCATGTTGCGGCTGCTCCATGTCGGGACCCGGCTGAGCCACGCCGCCGCCCGCGCCGCCGAGGCTGTTGTTGTTGGAAATGGGATGTTGCTGCTGCTGCTGCTGCTGTTGCTGCTGCTGCTGCTGCTGCTGTTGCTGCTGCTGCTGCTGCTGCTGCTGCTGCTGCTGCTGCTGCTGGAACTGGTTTAGCTGCTGCTGTAGTGCGTGGTGGTGGTGGTGGAGGTGGTGGGCATGGTGGTGGTGGTGGTGGGCATGGTGGTGGTGGTGGTGCTGCTGGTGGGGCGGTGCGGCGGGGGCTTCGCCAACGGTTTTCAGTTTGTGGTTGGGGAGCAGCCCCGTCTCCATAACCGAGCCCGGGCCCGACGAGGAGGAAGAGGAGGACGCCGCCGCCGCCGCGGAGGAGGAGGACAGCGCAGCGGCGCTTCCACCCTCCTTGAGAGCCGCCTCGGAGCCGCCGCTCTTGGCGCTGTTCGTGCTGGCGGCGGCGGCGGCCGTGCTCGCGTTATGGGCCATGTTCAGTTCGTGACGGGGGTGCAGGGGGTGGTGGTGCACATTATTCAGGCCGCCGCCGTCGCCGCCGCCCCCCAGCATGGGTCCCGGTGCCGCCGCCGCCGCGCCGCGCGCCCCCGCCTCCAGGTCCCGGGCCCCGGGCGCCGGCCGCGGCCCGGGGGGCGCCCGCCGCT